CAGGCGGCGGGCAGGCAGCGGGCAGGCACGCAGACCTGCCCCCAGCAAGCACTCCCGTGGAAATTGCTATGAAACACGTTTTCCGAAGAGTTTTTAGGCCTATTGGAGATTTAAGGCATTCGGAAGGGGTGAATTTCCTTAATTTCAATCTTCTAAAAATTAGTTATTATTTTAATTATTATTAATTATCTGAGTTAGTTATTTGGGCTGCCTTTATAGGCAACAGAGAGAGGGCATCCTGAGAACAACACATCCCCCCAAAGCACCGGAGTACCCCGAGCACCCAACAGCGAAGGGGTTGGAGGTGCTGCTCTCTTTCCCTTTTGACTGTAGAGGATTTCTGACAGCTAGTGCCAACTAGCTGGTTGAGTTCTGAGTAGCTGAAGTTGGGTGGGATGAATTCTCCCCCAAGTCATAAAGTTTTCAGAATTTAAAACTGGATGCATTAACTACACCACAAACAGCCTGCAAATTTAAACAAGAATTAAGATACGCACCAGGAAAGGATAACTTGCCACTCACTTTTCGTGATTAATCATTTGGGCTTTTTCTATGCAACAAGTCTGCCAGTCACATAGCACCAACAGCGTCCTGCCACTTAAGTCTCTCTCTCGCCCACGCTCTTCAGTGCTCCATGGTAATGAACAATAAATAGCAAATACGTGAAGTGCATCATTTATATACAGCTCAAAGTGTTGTATTTGCTCACAAAAATTCTGCTGCAAATGCTAAGCGACAGCACATGCAACAGCAGACCCCAGCATCCCTCCACAAACAGGTCACGAATGGGAAAGGGATCCAATCTGCAGCGTGATCCACAGCCAGCACGCTGCCCAGGGCCAGCGGTGGGTGCTCCCCTCCCTGGGGCGAGCAGCGGTGCGAGGCTGCTGCTCCATGCTTCCCCGGGGGGCCGAACTGTTCAGGCGGTGCCAAGGGGGACGCAGAAGTGCTGCACGTGGACCCTCACAAGAGAAAAGCGATGTCTGCAGGGTAACTGCTCCGTAGGTCACCCATCCTCCCACCTGGCAGCCTCAGGGGACCCCCCCAAAGCCCAGCACAGCCTGTGCGGAGCTGGATGGGTCCCACTGGCGTGCCCGGCCCCGTCTGCCAGCCCGGTGGGTGCAGGTGGAAGGACCAGATGGGGCACACCGAGTCCATCCCTCCCACTCACCCCGTTTTTCAGGCCCTCATCTGGCTTAGCGTTAAACATCTCCATCAGTGGGACTTTCTCGCGTTTCCCGAGGATGTTGTTTTACCGCTGAAAGCACTTATCTCGCTGCCTACAAGTTTTCCTTCATACTTGACCTACATTTTTCCATCCAAAAGTTCACTCCCTTCAATCATTCCATAAAACATCCCTCTCCCTCCTCTGTGTTTACACATTTCTAATATTTGCAGATGTATCACGCTCCCCATTTAGTCATAACTTAGGCAAGCTCGACTGATTTACTCTCTCACATTTCCTGCGAGTCTCCCTCCCAGCGCTTTAATCATCTCTGACTCTCCCCCGTGCTGCCTCCCAGGCCCCGGTCGCATTCACGGCTCCCGCCTGGGGACGCGTGCAGCCCGGTGAGGAGGGATGCAACACCGGGTCCCCTGGCAGGGGACCATGGCCGTCACCTGCACTGTCCCAGCTCCAGCTCTGGGCTGCAGCAACCCATGGTTCGGCCCCGCAGGCAGAAGGGGCAGCCGGCACAGGAGACTCCCGAGAGCTTGGTAGGAAGGAGCTCGGGCTCATCCCGCTCTCCTGCGGAAACACAGCTTGCACAAGCAGACTCTGCATGGATCTGCACGGTTTCCCCCTAAAATGTTTCTGTTGACCTCTATCAGGGAAGTTTGGCAGAGGGTTGGGGTCTCAGACGACGACATTCCTGTGAATTTAATGAGAATACTGAGTGAAAGGCTGCAAAGAGCTGGTGATACCTCAGCCACTGGAGAGGGCAGAGGAGGTCCTCTCACCTAGAAACTGCGACCAGGCACCAGGATTTCCCAGGTGCCTTCCCTTTTCCCTTTCCTTTCCAGGGCACCCACCTGCCCAGAGGGAAGCACCGGAGCCGAGCGGCTCCCCCGGTCCCAGCCAACCCTCGCCTTGCCGGGCTGTGGGTCCTCCGGGTGTTGCAGCGGGCATTCCCGCAGCTGTGCATGATGGAAACGGCCCATGTCTGTTCAAAAATAAAGACAGCGAAGACCTGCTGGTGCAAGAGGGCTGGCAGCTGCCCCGCTCCACCGGGATCAGGCTGAGACGCGGGCAGATCTCTAGAAGACACCAGCATCCTCCCGACACGCACCTGCAAAGATCAGCGTTACAGGCAAGGAGCAAACTCCCCGGGATGCTCAAGCAGCAGCCTTACGGCTTTGGTTTCTCCACAGCTTTCGATATC